ATAATAGAAAAAAAATATTAATTTTTTATCTAATATCAAAATTTAAAATAAAGCTTTTCAAAAAAACAGGATATTGTTATAAATTAATAAAAAAAACAACTCACCAGCTAAAAGAAGCAATGGAATTAGGGAAATCCATATAATTTTTGATCCAAATATGCGTTTCCTTATACCTGAAAATCTGCTCAAGACCCAACAATCAAACAAAAGTAGTTTGATTAATCCTAAGTAAACAGACCGCCCAATAAACCACCATTGTCTTCTCCAATATGATTCTACATATAAATCAAAAACACTTTTAATTCACTCTATTTCGCTTCATACATAATATTGAACTAATTAAAAAATAACAATACCATTATAACGAATGGATTCATGATGAGTATAATATTCTCTTTTTCTGGATGTTCTAAGTTTAAGAAATTCAAGCGATTTAAGAAACCAAGCTACGAGAAGTATTTTAAATCTTAAAAATGTTTGCGTTATCTTCCATCTTTGAGTATTTGGAAGTGAGGTTGATGACATGATTTCATCTAATTCTGTATCAGAATCATATCTATGAGTATCATTATAATCTACAGATGACTTTGTCCACGAAGGATACCTGGTCAAAATAATATGTTTTTAAAAAATAAATGTCACTTAAATATATGATTTTATCTTGTCTTACCTATATTTTAAAATCAATTACAAACCTTTGTCGGATATTCTGGGAATCCATAGATTTTGTAGAAATAACTTTTCTATGCATTGTATATTGTTCGATATGTGTTTTTTTTAACATTGTTGATCTTGATGAAAAATTAGAAACACTGGCACGTGATGAAGTAGATAGATCATCTATAGACTGTGTCAAATTAAAAAAAAAAAAAAACAAATATATTAGATATTTTCTAGACCTATATTTAAAAATTTAGAGAACATTATACCATCAAACTTACTGCAAGATTTTGATCAATTATATCCTTAGGGCCAGAAGAATCTAAAGTGTCACCTAATCCACTTTCAGATGTCGCTAAGGATGATTGCCTTAAGCCATCTGTATTTGTTGATGTTACATTATTGGTATTATTACTAGAATCCGAATGTATTGAACATCTGGACATATTAGGCATTGCAAGTATACCTGGTGCTATTTCATAACGATATTGTGACTTTTGTGAATAAGTATAATCTGTTTTTGGAAATTTGCTGAAATAATAAGAATAGATTTGTTTGTGAAAACACATGGACTGATTGTTACTTAAAGAAGTTTACAAGTACAGATTTGTTTACTTTAAAATGCTAATGGACAAATTGATATTGAACGATATTTTTTTTTTATTCTTTTTGGGTGACATTTATTTATCTCTCCTAATTTATGAACATAATCAAACAAACATATATTTATATAGTATGGTAAGAGCTTAAGATAACTATAATTTAAAAGTAACTTTACTTACTTCCACCATTCTCCAGCTTGTTTATATATCTCATAGGCAGAACCTGGTCTACTTGGTAAGTCTTCTCTTTCTCCTTCTTCTGAAGAATAATCACTGCTGACTACTCTATGCGGTGTTATACTCTTACGCATTTGTTTTGGTGTAATATCGTTTGTTTCTTCTTTGGTGTCATCTTGTCCGTTTAAAAATATTTGTCGTTTAGCTCTCTGGCGTTCTGAACGTCGTTCTACTTTTTTAGATGCCATGGATACAGAACTATCTGATTGTTTATCTAGATTTTCTGATATAATTTCTGATATAGGTTCTTGTACATTTTCAGTTATTGTCAGCATATTTTGATCACGCGCTTTGCTGACACTACCTGGCCTAAAATTTAACCGGTAGAAAAAAATAATCAAAAACCATTCTACTTTATATAAATAAATCATCTTATAATATTTTTCACAATAAAAAAATAATTGAATCATACATCGATCTACTACTCGATCTTGTAATAATCCTAGTTTCTGCAGGAGTATGCGATCGTTCTCTACTTATACTTCTTAAGTCATAATGATGTTCCGCTTGTTCGGTATCTACCAAAACTTTATTTGGTACCAATGGTGTATGAGAACGAGATCTACTTCTACTTCGTAATTCATAATGATGCTGTTCACTTTCCATTTTTCTGCCAAGTTATGAGTAATAATCTATTTACATAAATGAAATAAATAAGAAAACAATAATAATGATAACACACAATTTTTAATATTATATCCTAATAGTCTAATTTAAAGAAAGTATAAGCCATAGAATGGTGTCCCGTACTAAAGGCACACTATGAGTAAACCAAAAATCTTTGGCTTGAATTAAAACAGAAACATATGTCTAAGTTTAGCTAAAAATAGTCCCCCTCCACTAAGATGAGAAAACAGCCCTCTCAACTGAATTCCTATTTCTAGTCCCCCCTACTCTCATTCTCTTTTCTTCTCTTCTCTTCTCTCTCTCTATATCTTCTTACTTATGATTTAGAAATTAAATTTAAGAATTAAAATTCCCAGAAATAAAAAATATATAGTATTACAGAAAGCAAATTGTGTATGTTTGTATAATTAAGAAAATGAATACTCTATTAATTCAAAATACAATAAATATTTAATACAAATCTTAGTGGAAATTTTTAATAAATTCAAGGATAAATTCTTTTATGCAATATATATATGTATAATGAAAAAAGAATCATTAAGAATATATTACATGATGATTAATAAAAATATTTTTAAATATTTCTAACGTTCGTTTTGTATTATCATTTGTTAAAAGTATTAACCGAACACGAGAAAAAAATATATACATGTTGCATAACATTACATTCTAATTATATATATACATACTTAGAATTTTAAATTGTATAATTCTCTAATTATGAACGAAAACAAATTCTAATGCATTAATAATGAGGAACTTTCCGTAATAAATGAAAGAACAAATTCAATATTTACCCTCCTATGATACTTCTCAAAAACAAAATACTAATCCACTTAATTTTTTTTATTCTCACATACTATCGCATACACGCATTACATACGTGCGTGATCTTTAAACGATAAACCGTATTTTTAAACCTTTAAAACTGATTACAGCAGATTATAAACGCCATCTCGTAAATAAAATCTAACAACGATACAAATATTTGGTTAGATTCCGATCATAAAATTCAGATTACTTTCAAATCAATCTAATATCAAATAAAATTTAATTTTACATATATTATATATAAAATATAGTTACTTACAATTTAACATATCTTTTCTTTTTTATAAAATAAAAAAAAGAACTTTTCATAAAATTCGCGGTTACTTTACACAATTATTTTCATTAATTGAGCCACACAAATACACACATCCACACACATATATATCGAGTATCTATATATATATGCATAAATATATATACATATATATATATATATATATATATATATATATATATATAGAATCTGGGAGAGTTGTGCTCTGGACAACAAACATCCTCTTCTTCTTCTTCCTCTTTTTATTAGAGCTTTGTCCTGTTATAATAGCTTTTTTTTTATTGCTACTTCTATATATATATATAAATTAAACTATTAGACTAGATTGTTTCCTTTTTTGAATTGCATTACATATACGTTTTAACATAGAATTATTACGCATGAAAACTGACAAACTCTTGTTCTCTCTCTCTCTCTTTCTCGTGCGTGTATGCGCGCGCATCGTATATTCCGTAAAAAGAGTGGGTCTTTAAAAATAAGTAGTGGGGGAAGGAAGAGATAAAACTGTCGCCTAAGGAGTATGACGTAAATTTTGTATAAAAACTCCCATATATGAATCATGGTGTACCCGCTTAATAGGTCTACTTGGTATATTACATTAAATGCTATATGAACAAAGATATAGAACATTCAAACAGATACATTTTTACGACTTTCATTTATAATAATAACAATAATAATTATATTTACTAACTATGCCTATATAAACATTAAAAATAATTTACTTATATTTACACATTCAAATATAAATTTTTATTAAAATCATATTAAATCTTTCATTTTTTACAATTACTTTTTTGATTTACTATATTTTTTTCTCTTATCTATTCTTACTAAATTTAGTAATTAGCTTATCATGTTCTTATTCTTGCTAAAGCTTACTAAGATGATATCTTATTCTTATTACCTAGCTTATCATATTTTTACTCTTACTGTATTTTTCTTACAACTATTTCGTTATTCCTCTTCTTGAATCTTACCTTCAACTTTCTTTGCCGCTTTATTTCACTTGTTTTCAAATAAATTCTACCTATATTGCTTATTTACTTTTTTACATTCGCTCACTTATTTAAATCGAATCGTTTGTCGCTCATCATTTTGCTTTCTAAATAAATTCAGTCTTATATATTAAGGTTAAGTACATGCTTTAAGAGATCAAAATACTTTTATTGTAGATTGTAATTAAAATGCAATGGGTTTCCTACTTTGCTCATAAGAATAATAACGACATGATACGAACAAACAAATAACTATTTGTGGTGCATGTATAATTATGCATTTAGAAGTCGATGGTGGCACTGTTAGCGGATTAACTGGAAACTACAAGTTGAATTTAACCTAGTATTCATCTCAACACTTTGCATTTTTTTTTTATTAATTTTATTAGTTAAATCATTTCTCATAAAAGTTATAATAATTTTTAATAATAATCGTTGTTTGTCTTGTGATAATCATAGAAAATAATTAATATATATTTTTAATCGATCCGCACATGAATGTAAACAACAAATAATTTTTTTATGTAGTAGACTAATCAATCGTGATTCTTTGACTTCTTTCAGCTTTGTAATTGGTTAGTAAAGAAATCTCTTTTGTCATTGGCTATTAGTGTAACCAGTCTAGTTAATTCGAGGAAAAGAAGCTTAAACTGTAGTACTTATAAACTGTCGCGTTTAATCAATCTTCAAAATCTTCACCTTTCGCGTTCGGCGATGTAATATATATAATATGTATATATATATATATACACATTATAGATATATATAATAAAACATAAGTGGAAATTAACATGTGAGATTAAAATTTTTCTTGAATCGATATGTTATGATCGATCATATATCGATGTTTTTACGAGTATCGTTAAATTAATTCTCATAGAATGTTAGAATGATTCGGAAATGATCGGATCATCTTTAAATGTGAAATCTTTCAAGTGGTTGTCATTGTTTCAAGTTTTAACATCATCCTTATTGATTCTTTTTATCGTGTAGTAGTGTGTGACGTCTAAACAGTGCGTATCGTAAACTTGAAAGTTTGGTTAAGAAAAAGTCCTGTAGTATGCCACAATTTCATAGAATTGAAATTAATAGGACGGAATGGGAGGTACCAGAAAGATATCAAATGCTTACTCCCGTAGGTTCGGGAGCTTATGGTCAAGTTTGGTAAGCAAGGAAAAATATATATATATATATATGTATATATATATATAATAAGTAACATTGATCTAATAGATAAAAATCATTAGATAATTACCACTATGATAATACGTTATTGTAACAAATATTTGTAAAAAATTTTATTCGGTAAATATCTCATTTTGTATATTATTTAATTAATGATAATATGTCAATATGTATGCGATTTTTTGAGACATTAAATGTGTGACCATGAACCTATGGTTACCTTGACATTTTTTAATTTTCATTTACCTCTTTTTTCCATAATTTTATTTATTTAATTAATTTTTTGTAATATCACATTTTTTGTTTTCTAACTTAAAATATTTTTGAAAGTTCTAATAAACTAATAATTTTAGAACATCGTACGAATGTGCTATTTTAGTGTCAAGCTGAGTATAATTAGAATATTTGACAATACTTTCCACCAGCTTAAAATACCAAAGAAATCTATTTAAAACTTTTCTACGTTATAAGCGTTATGAAAAATCATTTTAGGCTTTTTTAATTTATATTTTTAATACTTAAAAATTTTCTTATAAATTTTTTTCAGTTCTGCAGTAGATACAACAACCAATCAAAAAGTTGCTATAAAAAAATTAGCTAGGCCTTTTCAGTCAGCTGTACATGCAAAGCGTACATACAGAGAGTTACGTATGCTAAAACATATGAATCATGAAAATGTAAGTAAGAAAATATTTGTATGCATGTTATATTAAAGGTTTTTTAATTTTTTGTAAAGCTTACATTGTGTAAATGCAGGTAATCGGTCTATTAGATGTGTTCCATCCATCTTCATCATTGGAAGATTTTCAACATGTGTAAGTTTCTTTTATTACTAATATTGCTTCATAATTTTCATATATAATTTCATATAAAAAATTGTTTATACAGCTACCTAGTCACACATCTGATGGGAGCAGATCTCAATAACATTGTTAGAACACAAAAACTTTCAGACGATCATGTGCAATTTCTTGTATATCAAATTCTCCGAGGTTTAAAGTATATTCATTCTGCGGGTATTATTCATAGGGTATGATTATTACATTTAATTTAATGAATAACATTTTAAAGATATAGATTATATAGTTTTTATCTTTTTCCAGGATTTAAAACCATCAAATATAGCCGTAAACGAAGATTGCGAATTAAAAATCTTGGATTTTGGTTTGGCCAGACCTACAGAGAATGAAATGACAGGATATGTTGCTACTCGATGGTACAGGGCTCCAGAAATTATGTTAAACTGGATGCATTATAATCAAACAGGTCAGTTTTAACTACTCTTGTAAATGTTATAAATCAATATAATTTTTGTTATTATTTTCAGTTGACATTTGGTCAGTTGGTTGTATAATGGCAGAATTACTTACCGGAAGAACTTTATTTCCAGGAACAGATCGTATCCCTTTCAAATTACATTTTTACTGTATTATATTTAATTTTTTTTGTTTAGATAAGATTCTGCTTTTTGTCATTAATATTAAGTCACCTTTATTAACGTCATTATTCTCCAGAAATCTGTCCTTGTTGTTGTACTTTGTCTTGTCATTTACAATTTAATATTATTTATATTATAATATAGTTGCAATGCATCTAATCTACAAGCTATGCTTTTTGCTAAGGATCTACGTGGCTTACATGGACACAGAAATTGTAACGATATGCTGCACTAGCTTATATATTAGCGTTTTTTTTTTCATTTACCTCTTTTTCTTTTTTTTCTCATTTAACATAATACCAAGGATTCATATCAAAGAAATTATTGATATATATATATATATATATGTGAAACAAGTTAATTATAGAAGTCTTTATTAAACTGCTTGATCTAACATAATTATTCGAGTAAATGAAAGAAAAGTTTAGTGGAACCTTAGCAAGAGCAGATATTCATCAACTGAATTTAATAATGGAAATTCTGGGTACCCCACGCGATGAGTTTATGCAAAAAATATCATCGGAATCGGTAAGTTGTTTTCATCTTCTTTTCATTACAGCACTTCTCTATTTTCATTTTAAACATATACCTTACTATCATTGTACATATTTATATAATCCTCAAATTCTGACTACTTATATTTTATTAATTAAATTGCAAAAACATGTAATGTGAATATATAAAAAGCGACTTTTTTTTTTACAAAATTAAATAACGCCATCTGCATGCCTCAAACTAATAATTATTTGCCAAGGAAACTTATAGCATGTTTCTAGATAAGTAGAAATCGATTGAACGATAATTTATTAATATATTTCTGAAGTAAATTATGCTTTATCAAACTTACCTTAACGCTAAGCAGACATTGACCACTTAACACGAGTTCTTGTGCTCTGTGGTATGCCCACAGAAGAAACCTTGAACAAAATTACCAGTCAAGAGGTAAATTAAAGTATTATTTGTAATCATTAATTTTTCATAACATTTGAATGTATTTTAAAATTTATTACGTAGTATATAATTCCTATAAAGATATCAAACTTATGTATCATTTATTAATCATTTATTAATCATTTAAAAATTATATTTATTAGCTTTTAATGCAAATAATATATGAACCAATGTGTCCAGTAAATGGTAAGTAAGTGATAATCAATGTAAATTTTATTTACAGGCCAGAAACTATATACAAAGTTTACCGCCCTTGAAGAAAAAAAATTTTAAAGATGTATTTCGTGGGGCTAATCCTTTAGGTATTATATTTACCTTTAGAAATTAACTATGTCAAAGCGAGCTTTGATTTATACTTAATGTAATCTAAATAAGAATTTAAAGTTATAATAATATTTTTTACTTTATCTTCAGCAATAGATTTGCTTGAATTAATGTTGGAATTAGATGCTGAAAGGAGAATAACAGCGGAACAAGCACTAGCTCATCCATATCTTGCACAATATGCAGATCCAACAGATGAACCAGTATCATTACCGTATGATCAAAGTTTTGAGGATATGGAATTACCTGTAGAAAAGTGGAAAGGTAATATAATTTATTTTCAAGAATGTTTTTTTATCCTGTAATATTTATATCAAGAGAGAACATTTTTATTGTTTTAGAACTTGTTTATCATGAAGTGATCAATTTTGTACCTCAAACATTACCTGCGCTATCCTCGACTATTGAAGCAGCTACGTAGAATTTGACTAATATAGGGTAACAATTTTAAGCACATTGTAAGATAATACTAATATGGAAGATTTAAATTATATATATATATATATATAAATATATATATATAAATAAAAATATTTGTGTATATAATTCATAGTATAACGCAAAGTATTAAAGATAAAAAATGTATATTTTTATTAAGTTAAAATTTAAATGATGATAAAAACACTAATACTTTCTGGAATATTGCATTAAAAACATTTCATTCCTAATATGTGCAATAATAATTTATCAAATATATTTCAAATAAAAAGAAATATAAATAACTATATGTGTAACACTATATGAATACTTCAAATTTTTGCGCGCTTGAACGGTAAAATTATGAATGGTTGCCAACATAAAAAAAAAATATGTTAGGCCATACCCAATGGTTGGTAACATAATTTAAATAAATCTAAGCTAACCTCACTCGGTTTTACAATTAAGTTCGTCTTTTTAACTAATATAATGAATAAATAAGTGTATACAAGTTAAATTTAATATAATGGCATTAAATATCTTTAAAAAGGTATATTGATAAAATTATTTCTTATTATATATCACACATAGTATAATAAATCATAACCTATATATATTAATTATATAGTAAACATACTTTAATAAAAATAAATATTTTTAGGCAAGAGCATTTCATAATGGCATTTTAGCCAAAAATATATTATGCAGACGATACACTTTGTATGAGCCTGATTATTTGGAGGTTAATTTTTAATATTTATGTATATACAATATTATGATATTTGTTTTTGATTTATATAATGGATTATATGTGTATATATATATATATATATATATACATATTATGTTGTAGGCATTAAAACCAAAAGTACCTATTTATCCTATATTAAATGTACGAATTACGGGATATGTTTATCCTGTATTACAAAGTTATCAGAGTTTCATTCACAAAGTCGCTAAAATTATGGATATTGACGTAGATGATGGGTAATATTCTGAATTTATTTTTATTTGGAAATGCATACAAGTTTATTTTGATGTTTTTCTATTCGTTCATGTTATTTTCAGTTGGGCATTACCTGCACAAGAATTAAAAATTCAAAGATATAAACCAAAAAGTACTATTGTCGTTGCAGAATATAAACTTAATATTTATGAAAGGAATATACAATTAGCAGACATTACAGCCACACAGTGTCCCTTACTAATTAGAATATTAGAAACTACTTTACCAGAAGGAGTAAATTTAAATGTGAGCATTTTTGATCCCGATACAGAATTAAAGCGTTATATACCAGATAAACAATTATTAGACATGAAAACACAGTTACAAGATTTACAGAAAAAGTAAATTATAATAGAGTATTGAGATTAATATTAGTAATGAGACTAGATATGTCAAGAATACAACAAGTATGTTCTGTAAAAAGGTATTTATTATAAAACTTGATAAAAATTTACAAACACACATGCATGTGCAATGCGTTTGTTAACATATATAAAAACGACGATTTATAAAATATTTTCAATATCAAATTAAATATTATTTTTTTTTTTTTTGTATAAAAGGCAGAATTATCATTGGAACATTGAGTATAATTATAACAAACCAAAGTGAACAACTTTTATTTTAGAACCTTCCTCAGATTTGGAAGATTCCTTTGAAATTTCATTATCTGCATCTTCTGTAAATCATAATTCATTTAATTTTTTTAATATCCCTTGAATTCATATTGTGTAGCAATATATGCAAATATATATTACACTTTGCTTACTTGATAAAGGTTGAAAATCTTTTAAATAGTCTTCATTTCCCAGGCACAACGGTAAACTTTCTGCCAATTCACGTTTTGGATCTGTTACATGTAACTGTGTAACTGTTGAACGTCTCTGTCTATGAGATTGATTCTGTAAATGCACATGGTAAAACAATTTCTGTGATGTTCTTTTTACATTATTAAAAGTAAGCATCTCTTACCGTGCCAGGTACTAATATATGTGTAACTGTATCTGAAAATTTAACTTTTGGTTTCTCATTTGTGGACATCGGTGTATCTAGGAATGTGGGACACATAGAATAGGTTTTTGAATTGGAATTGGATGTATTTACAATAGGTAATGGAGGTATGTTGGATGATGTCTTAATTTCCTTACCAATATTACTACTTATCTGTGACCCTATTTTGGTATGCCTATTTTCGAGTAATCTACTTTGCAAATTATATGCAGAATGTGAATAACTCAAAGCATTTGTTGTGCCAATTCTGTTATTATGTTGCTTAGTAACATTCAAACTGTCGCAACTTCCATGATACGGTATATAAGTAAGATCAGAATTAATTCTACAAGTTTTAGAATTACTATGAACACATTGATCTTGTAAAATATTAGACGCAGAATTTTGTCTTTGCAAAATACATGGTGTTATATTCATTACTTTAGCAGATGAAATTTTTTGATTAGATTCGTCTATACTCATTAATCCTAGAGTACTTTGAGAAAGCGAGTAATTTTTTCTTTGTAAATTTTGTAGGTAATTAGTAAAAGAAGATGTGATAGAAGGTGGTAATGGAATTTCACTACTGGATTGTTTTTTGTTAATTTTTTGATGATGATCCATATAATCTTCAGCGCGAAAAACTTTTATGTTGCTGTCGTATGTAGTAGGACTTTCAGAATATTTGTTTGTAGTAAATAACGTGTTACTCTTAGTTTTATGAGGTGTGGTAATTAGCTTATTTGCTTGTATAACAGAATTAGATGTATCTATTTGAGACATAACATTACTCGATGAATCATTTGTTCTAATACTTGAGGAATAACAGAAAGGTGTATTATCACATTTTATATTCGAGTCTGAATTATTATCAGAATTATTTGAAACTGAAGTGTTACAAGTAATTGTACTGAAAGACGTTGACATAATATTATTGTCAACGTTACTCAAAGTTGGAATTAACGAGGAAGAAGAAGGAACATTGTCCAATACAAATTCGTAGGTCGAATTATTAAAAGAAGTCGATATAAAATTATTTTCTTCGGGTATAATTGTAACAGTATCTTCAACAGAAAGATTATTTGTATATTGTGTATCATTTGTTCCTGACTTATTAACCATTAATTGTAATATTTCATCATGATGTTGACGATCAAGAGACGATGACTTTTGTTTACTAAGAGATAGATTTCCAAAAGAGGTGGTCATTAAATCTTCGGAAAATTTATTGTAAGGTTGAACTCTGTTGATTGAATTTACCGTTGATATTGATGTTAAATTTGGACGGGTCACATATGTCGGTGTACTAAAAGATGTTGATGCAAAGAAAGTATTAGATACTTGTATATGTGAGGAAGAATCGCTAAAATTAGTATTTGCTAATGTATTACTAGGTGTATTAAAAGATGTGGAAATAATACTATAGTCAGATTTATTACTAGAAGAATCATCGTTCAATGATGTTGGTAAAAGAGTTTTGTTATCGTAATAAGAAGGATAAAGAATTGGTAAGGGTGGAACATGGTTGTTGGAATTCTTTTTATAATTGTATCTTTTGGGATACTTCGAATTTGTTTCATCTTCCTTTGTCGAATTTTCACTTTCGTTGCTATAAGATTCCTCTCCTTTATCGCTCGTTAATTCAGAACATATAGAACAAGATTCTCGGGAACACGTTGAATCTGTAATAGTTCTTTATATTATATAACTATAAGTAATAATTAAATGTGTCCGTTTGATATTTTTTTCAAATGAAATTTTCTTAATTTTCTTACGCGATGAATTGCAACTATTAGATCTGCTTAAAATTTGTTCAGCTTTCTCCTTTGCCGCATTTGCCATTTCCATGTCATTTAAAACCAAAGCATAGAAATGAATATCCATAAAAAGATCATGATCGTTTAGGTCTATGGCAAGTCTGAAAGCTTTCTCAAACATACGATATCTAATAAAAAGTATATTACTGTAATAAAAGTTTGGCTTATTATGAAACACAGCCTATCATATTATTTTGGTACCTTAGTAAATGATGAAAAAATCGTCTTGTTAAATCTCTTACTTCGTCACCATATTCGTCTTCGATTGCTTGACTTATTGGCCTAATTGGGACATGAAAACTACCCAATGCATTTTGTATGAAACCTAGAGATAAAGTTATTATAGGTATATATTGATTTATATATATATAAGTTCCTAATTAATTAATTCTTTGTCCTCCGAATAATTTTTATTATGAACTACCAACAACTCCGAGCCATTTTTACTATAATCTACTAACTAATTAAAGACTATTTAAAATATTGTTTTTAAATATCGCCGCAGCGATGCAAATGATTAAAAAATAAAATCTAATAATAAATATAACGCATAATATATCTTCTTACTTTCGTGTTCAGCCGTTAATGGTAACTTGAATAAATAATTTAAGATTTGGTTGAGAGAATGCATACAAATACGTGGATGAGTGTCCCAATTTAAACGTAACAATAAAGATGTGGCTTGTTCGATTTGAGAAAGTATTAAATACTTTCTTACTAATATATCTCCTGAAAGATTATCTCCTTCAATTACTCTAATGACTCCTATTGGACCCCTATTAGTATATTAGATTTTAAATATACATATATATTTTTTGAGAGAAAGAGAAAAAATTATATAATAAAAATTGATTACTACTCACCGTTCAAAGAGCAATAAAAACAATGAGTCCCCATAACTATAATAACTGGTATGAGAATTTAATTGGTTTCTTTTATTCCATTCCATACGTACTAAGGCTGGTTGGCTCCTATAACAAATAAAAAAAATAAATTATTATTACATCTATATTAGTGCAGAATATGCAGTCTTTGTATAAAGAAGAAGTATAAATTTTTAACACCTAAAGTAAGATGATAAATCAAGAATATTTGCTGGTGATGTTTCGTCATTTAACATTTGATTTTTGATACAATGCAAAGCGATGTCGAAATGTTGAAATTGGCCCCTATCATTTCCAATAGAAAATATCATTCCATCATTATGCCAGGATGCGAGTGTTGGTATCTTGGAAAATAAATTTGTTAAAAAATAAAGTATATGAAATATTTGGTAGTTTATATCAAATGAATATTGAGAAACTTACAAAACCAGCTTTTATATTAATAATTGTAGCTTTTGTTTCATCGTACAACATTACAGAACCGTCTATGCAGCATAATAATAATAATTCTTGATTAGGTGAAAATTTAACGCAACTAGTATGAGTTGGTAAAGGTATAGAGATAATGGCAATTCTCTGTAATTTGTCTTGTTGTGATACTTCATATGTCCGCCATTCAATCGTAACTTCACCCTGTGTACCATAGATAATATATATTATTATATTCTTGAGAGAATAAAACATGTTGATCGACAACATTCTAAATTATTACCTTTCTTGATACTTTTTGTTCTACAGAATGAATGACATTTTCATGATGTATATCAAATTTAATACATAAAGGATCAAACTCAGTGCGTACGTAATATATTAAGTCCAATTTTGTTCTAAAAATAAAATCATACTAAAACTTTAATCAAAAAATAAAAAATATACTAATCCTTCTTTTAAGATAAACAAAAATTCAAGAAAATGTATAGAAAAAAAAAAATAACGTGTTATTAAAAATACTCAACAAATTATCTGATTTAATCAAAGTAAATTAAAAGTGTAGAATAAGGGAATAGCACTTAGAATGTATATTTTCTACTTACAAATAAATACCGTCTCGACATACCCAGTAAGACGATAAAGGTGTATGTTTGCACGATCATGTTCCTTGACTACAGGACTCCATGGATAAACTTCGTTCATTGTAGATTTCCACCATATTAATATCTATAGAATCATGCACTTTTGCAATAAACATAAATTAGAAGCAACGTATGCATAAGCATAGATTCAACAATAAATATCAAAGTTATTTTGAAATAATATTTAAATCTAATCTTTAAAAGAGAATATATATTAATGTGGACCATACCAGATCACCTGGCTTGTTGATTTGAATATTTTTATCGAGTCTGCGTCCATTAGAACCAAATAGATCACTCGTACTCAATTTGGGTTCTAATTTACTGATTTTGTCAAAAGGATGTCTTCTAGGTTTTGTAAAATACACAGTTGTTATCTGATTATCATTATACATACAAATCAAATGAGTCTTTGTAATCGCCACTGTAAAATTTATAAAGACTTATTTTAATAATTTACATTTTATTATATCAATTATCTTGAAAGATATAATTTAAATTTTTACCATCGGATATATGATCACATAACTTTCCCATGAGATACTTATCAAAAGTACACTTAACGATATCAGCAGTTTCAACATTAATTTGTATGTAAATTAAGAGACCATTGCTTAGCATAATTTGTAGAATACTATGATCGTTCCACTGACAATATATAGTCGAATTATCTTTGAGTTGTTCCTTGATAAATAAAAGCAAATCATTTTTAATCGAATTATTATAAATGCAAACATTTATGAATTATTATTTTATAAAACACTGTGTACGTACTTCCAAGTGTTTGATAGCATCTTTCAATTTATTTCCTTTTTTGTTTGTTGGAACATAAGTCATACCTCGTTTTTGACTATAAGATCTTTTTCCTTCTTCGTATACATTATCAATACGTTTGTCATGATACCTGTTGAAACAAACCAATATTATGAATAAAATTATTTTCTTAATCAGAAAAAAGAAACACAAATAGTAATCCATCATGTATAAAAAAAGAAAAGCAGATATATATTTTTATTTTACCTAAATGCTCCATGATCCGTGTTTTTAATATTAATATTATCATCAAAGGTCCATAAATTCAATTCTCCTAATAAAGTTATGGACATTTTTAAATAACTATCGTAAGTACATTGAAAGGGACCACGCGTTAAGCGTCTATAAACAATGAAGCGTGTCTGTCAAAAAGGGGTTATAAAATGCTTATCGGTCGGTAAGATAGGATTTCTTGAAACTTCATATAACAGTGGTTTTCAACTCATCTTTTTCTAATTAAATTGTATGTAAACATTAGAAAAGTTGAGAATCTTTTTTTTGGAAATAGATTTAATGTGAAGTTAGTTCCTGATGATATTTTCATTACAATTTTGAATACGTAAGAAGTATATATGAAGATATTACATATATATGATATATGCATGAGTTATTGAATATAATGCCAAGGATGCACATAGATAAATATATATATCTCATTTCCGGAAATATTATTATATCACGACATTAATATTTATATATATATATATAAGTATAACAAAAAAATGATAACATAAAATGATTAGTAAATATTATTTGTTTTATCATTTCTTATTCAATATTAATGTTGTAATTTATTTTATGACGAAGAATAGAGTAATCATTTTCACCAACGCATCATCCAAATAGGGTGCAATTGCATAGATTCGTAGCCTCGTGTAGGAAGCTGAATAGACAAATGTAATTAACATTACAAATTTATAATTAAATACGAAGAATAATGGATATCAACTTGTATTTAAACTTACGAGTGAAGAAGATCGAAATAAATCTCGTATCACTTAACATAGTTTTTATTCTGGTTTGGAATTTATTTCTTGTTTATTTATTTCCAGCGATTATATACGTTCACAAAAGGATTTTATTAAATTTTAATATTTATCAAAATTTGTGTCGAGAGTTTAAATAAATTTCTCTTAGAATAAAATTATCGATTAATTAATTAGTTACCGCCTATCCATATCCAACCATGGATAAAATTACAAGTATAAAGTTATCAAATTTATACGGGCATCGACGAATTTATCCTATAAATTGGTCCAAGGATCATTGAGTCCATAACTGAATCGAAACAAACAAGCATTTCCCGAAATACTTGCTATATGGAACGTTCATATCGAATTAAAGTTATAATACATATACAATATGAACGTGTGTGGGTGTGTTATTTATCGAAATTATTATTTAAATATAAATAGGGCTGGGAGAAAGGGTTGACAATAAATAAGTGTAAGTATACTCGTAAAATATCCATGTCATGATTTATACGTCATTCGAAATACCGCATCTTCAGTTTTACATACAATAATACACATTTGTGAATGAATGAGATAACTTTTGTGTGTAGACTACGTTACTTACTCATCAAATAAAAAAAAGAAAAAGTCTAGAATATTCCTGATCATTCTCTTTAATAGGAGAGAAGCTAGAACTTATGAGACATTATTTGGACCCACCTTGTATAAGTGCATATGTACATATATGTATAAGCATATGTATACGTATATATACATATATATAACTGTTACGATTCTTTCAAAAGGACCTTGACGAGACGCTACCATTTTTGCTCGCGATGCATCCATCGAACGTGCGCAGGTGCTCTTTTCACGCGTAATTGCACGCACGCAACTGAAGTCGCTTTTTTTTTTTTTTAAAGGCATTAAGCGAGTACTAAGGCGTTATAAAACTAGTCGTCTTTCTAAATTAGTCTTTATATTGACCGTTAATCGCAATTAGCTAATAACAACAAAGGAGAAAGCTAATAAAAACGAGTCTCCCCTGTCCCTTCCTCTTCAACCCCATTGCCATTTAATAATGGTGATTCGATGAAAACAAATACAAAATAAGAAAAGTCTTGTTACATATTTTTCTTCACAGTACTGCGAATCATAATCATAATTCTTCTGCCAAATCGCGAATGGCCCTAAGCTAAAGATAGGCTCGTCATAGACATAGAAAGAGAGAGAAAGAGAAAGAGAGAGAGAGAGAGAGAGAAACAGAATTGGTGCTAGTGCATCGGTGCAAGGAGAACTACGACGACCTTGGCCTTACGAGTTTATATAACGAGGAAACGAGCGATACGCGAGCTCAGTCGTGCCAAGTACTCCTCTTTTCGACCTACGTTCTAAATCTCGATCACTCGATCATTTTTTTTATTTGTTTTTCTTTTTTTTTTTTTTTTTAACTTGTTTTTCTCCAACGCGCGGGCGTGCATCCTTTTTTTTGGGGGATATATTGTCGGGGAAGGACTTTCTTCTTCACCGATCGGGAAGTAATTCTGAGGAAATAATTTGATTATTTTCATCGTCGAAATGTTTGGTGATAAACGATTGTGTTACAGGATTTTAAATTTCGAAGAAGGTTAAGGTGTATTTTAAAGATAGGATACAATATCGTATTATTCGCGTAAAGTTTTGAAGGAATTTAAAAAGAAAGAGATTTTTATAACGGGGGTGAGTAGCGCCACTAAAGTATTATAAATCCCGCCAATATTAATAGCGCGCCATTTTAAACTAGACACGTTTATTTTGATAAAGACTCTGACACTGCGTCTATTATCACTAAATGCGATAACCCTGTTTTATATACATATATATATATATATCTCTTTGTGTTTTTCAGAATTAGTTGTTAACACGCGAATACACACCCTCCTTCGAGACCTTCGAATTTTAAAAGGATGGGAAGAACGACGATGGCGATGTTATATATAACGATTTCAACGTTCCTCGTTCTATTCGTTCAAGTTAATTGCAAATGCAGTTTAACACCTATCGTCAACGGTGAACGATCAATTGCCTATGCCTGCACCGACAGCGAACTGAGTGACCTCGATGAGATTTCAAACGAGGCCGAATGGATTGAATTTTCTGTTTCACGAATACGCATCATACCTGATGATGCATTTTTAAGATTCCGCGGTCTCAAGAGATTGTCATTTTATAATTGTCATGTTGATCACATCGCTCCACATGCTTTTCGTGGATTACATTCACTTGATTGGCTTATATTCCACGGTACTAAACTTCACGTTGCTAGGACTACCTGGTTTCAACATTTACCAAACTTGAGGAAACTAATTTTGGATAGGTACATATTTACACACACAGGATATCCCAAAAGTTGTTTTAACAATTAAATAGAAACAAAACATATAATCAATATTGATTTATTAACAGAATTAGAATATTTTGTATTTCATTTCAACATATGAAATTCTAGTTATAGTGTTGTTCAAAAATTACAATCCACGATGCCGTCATTCCACACACACACACACACAGAGACAAATTTTTGTCGAAAAGAAATTTATAATTTTTGAATTCACTAAAATAACTTAAGGGACATCCTGTATATGTGTATCTTGTAACAACTTTTGTTACATTTGATATTTATTGTTCTTTATGCTATTTAACCAGACAACAGATACTATGTGAAAATACGTGTATACGCATGACCCAGTTTGCTAGAAAGACAAGCAGTCTCTAATTCAAAGCGTATGCAACTTTACTCGAGTTTCGATATTCCGCAAGCAGGAAGTAATATTTACTTATGCTTAACACGAGGGAAAACATTAGTGGGAAGACTAAGTCACCTTCTATCAATAATATATTCATTGTCAAGTGTATGAATCATTAAATCTTTTTTGAAATTACAAGCGCACGTAAAGAGGCGACTATTATTTATCTCGCCGAAGATTTTTTTAACGTGCATTGTCTTTGTCTATTATCATTTGTTTTTTTTTCAAATATTTTTCCCGTCATTTTTGTTATAAATCAAAAATTTATTTATTAACATAGTTGAATATTTTAAATGAAACTTATGATATTATTTTAATATTGTAACAAGATATATTAATTTATGACGTTGCATTTATTGACCGATTATTTTTTCTTTTAATTTTTTGTAGATGTGGAATTTTTTACATAGAAGCAGAAGTCTTCCGAACGCTACCAAGATTAGAAATATTAAGTTTATACGACAACGAACTCGATTGTATTCCTATTGACGAACTAGCGCCACTTCGATCACTGAGGAACATACGCATTGATGGAAATCCTTGGCTATGCGAGTGTAGACGAAGATTAGAAAGATTCTTTCGTGAAAGACGTATTTTTGAAAATGTTGGAATTGAAGAAAAAGTAATGCCCGTTCATAAAAGTTGGCGACAGTGTATGGAAAATATCAACATTTTTGTAATGTCGAGACATCCGACTAATCCGAATATCAAAATCTTGGAAGAAGTGAGTCAATAATAAAAATTATTTAAAGATAATTGAAAAAAAAGAACAAAAAAATTAAAATTAAAATGAAATAATTATACCGACCAATTAAAAAGCTGTTAATTTTTGTATGTATCTTAACAAAACAGAAGACTGACAAGAAATATTAGAACAATTTAATTTCTTATAGGGTGACAAGTTTCAAACATCGACACTTCGTTCATTAGATCGTCTTCCTGATAAAACAAGTTGGATCGAATTATCCGGTTTAAGATTAGACAAAATTCCGTCTTACGCGTTTTATCGTTTCGGAAATACGTTGAGGAGTTTGGAATTTCGCAACTGCATTATTGGAAACATCGAAGCAAACGCTTTTGCCGGATTATACAAATTAGAACGTTTATCGTTCGTTGATAACGAGTTACCACAAATAGAAACTAATTGGTTCCGAGATCTTGTTAATTTGCATAGATTGATCATCGCAAGAAATGAAATTGAACATATTCGAGAGTATACTTTCTGGCATTTGAGAAATAATCTTAAATATCTGGATATACGTGAAAATCGATTACGTTGTTTACCACTTGATGAGATTGAGAGATTAACGAAATTAGAAAGATTGGATGCTATTGGTAATCCTTGGAATTGTGTTTGTCGTAGAAATTTAGAAAAAATACTTACACAATTAAACGTTGGTTTTGAGATAAGTGCTGGTAGATGTTACGACGATGATAATCAAATACCATCGATCATCGAAGAACGACATAAAAATAAGGTAAATCAATTAAAACCAATCATTATCTGTTAAGCATACATTTCTAAATAGAGACAACTTAATTTCTATTTAGACGACCACCGTAACGACTTCGGTAATTGGAAACGTACACTGGGCATCGTTCGAAGACAGTTTGAACAAAGATACGAATGTTAGCGTTCTAATACCAGCTACAACAATGATGACCATAATCCAAGAAGAACAAGTAACACAGCAGCCAACAACTGAATCTGTTTATACCAGTATTATTACTACTTCACGACCTACCACACATAAAGGGACTTGTACACGGGATAATAATTCTCAACAAGTTTATACCTGCACTGGTTTGACTTCGATCAGCCCAGTAAATTCAATAGATTCCAGGGCACACACTATTCGAATCACTTTATCCGATATATCAGTAATACCTCCAGAATCTTTCCAACGTTTCAATGGGTATTTACGAAGATTAGAATTTCATGATTGTGGAATCGAAAAAGTAGCAGCTGGTGCATTCGCTGGACTTTACAATCTGGAATACTTATCAATTCGTAATAACGCATTGAAATCATTTACCAGCGAGTACTTAGTTGGTCTTTCATCAAACTTAAGATATTTAGATCTTTCGAGAAATCGTATATCAAGGATCGATAATGACGTGTTTGATCTATTTCCGTCTCTCATAAGTTTTGATATTTCCGAGAATCTGATGAATTGTATTGGTATAGAACACCTCGAACATCGATCAACTTACTTGAAATCATTCGAAGTAACTGGCAATCCTTGGAGTTGTCTTTGCGGAGTCAAATTAGCTGAATTTTTGGAGAAACGAAATTTACCGTACGATAAGAATTCATTGATCGACAGATCCGAGTGTTATGGTACACATGAACCATCCTCAACTGTGTTACCTACGACCCCGTCTGTAACACCAATACCAACTTTGATTATACCTAGTACTACTGAGGAAGACATTCCAAAAAGTATAGAAGGTGTTTGTACTTCTCATAGAAAAGGTAATAACGAACTTAGATACGTTTGTACTGGCGGAAATATATTACTTTTCAACGCGATTCCTAACGAAGTAACTGCAATTGAATTTCACGAAGGACATTTACCACGTTTCCCAACTGGTACAATGTCCAAATTTCCTAATTTACGTGAATTACTTATTAGAAATTCTGGTTTGAGAATTATCGAGCCTAAAGCTTTTGAAGATTATAACGAATTGAAGGTATTAGCTATACAGGATAATCCTTTGACTGGGGTCGATGGATCATGGCTTAATTTGAAAAATCTTGAACGCCTAGATCTACGTGGTAATTCCATAAGATATATCGCTCCGCAATCATTTCGACATCTTCCTAAATTACAATATCTCAATTTGGAAGGTAACGATTTAAAATGTATATTTACGAGCGATCTTAACGAAATGCCCGAAGTTTATATTATTGAATTTTCTGGTAATCCGCTTAAATGGAAATGCAGATTAGAATTGGAACAATTTTTAGAAATGCGTAAAATTAAATTCGTTAGAATCGAAGAATCCTGCGAAGGGAAAAAATATATGCGGAATGTACTTTGGCTTAATAAAACGGATACTTATTACGCTGATGAGTGTCAGGCATGCTCGTTGGCTAATCAAATTAAATTTTCTTTAATGTTGCCAACGTTTATAATATATCTTTTTAATATTGTTAGGTATTAAATTAATGCAAATCAAAATTCGTATGAATATAAAAAACAAATTTGATCTCAACAATTGAATCTTGATCGTAATATATCGTGACTTTTTTATTAACCAAAATAAAAATACAACCACGATGTCTTTTTAGGTAGTATGTTTAGAACAGTTACCGATACTACTGATAATACGTTACCGTATAACATGCTTAATAATGTTGTGATGATTGTTAACAATTATTTAATCATTTGCTTTATTTGTTTTATTCGTATTTTTTTAAAATTAATTTGTTCATTAATTAAACGGGACCACCGAAAAAGTTAGATCACCTTATATATATATATATATAAATATTATTTAATTC